TATAACATAATGAAGAAGTTCTTCATAGTCTTTTTCTTAAATCTTTGTGCATATCCCAGGAACAGCATCAATGTGACAGCTTGAGAAATCCTTGAAATAAGACTGTTGAATTTTCTTACTTCTTTGGTTTCCAACTCTGAATTTCTTGACATTTAGAGCCAGAGGCATTGTCCATAATTCAGTATTTGAAAGTGATACAGAGCTATATTGTGGTGGAATGTCGTGGTGAGATTTTCCCGTATACTATTGAGGAACCATAGTTGTTCTGTATGCTACTTTTTCTGCAACCTGCTAGGAATTAGTAATCTTGAGGGCTTTGAGTGTAAAATAAATGCCATACTGACTTTATCCAGTTATGATTCTAGAGGAGACAAGATTAGAAAAGGAACGACTATCAAATCCTATTCAAAAACTAAACTAGATTAGAAAGGACTATCAGATCCTATTACCTAAGTAATTTTATATATAGAAACAGCCTAACTTAAATGTTATGTATAGAAATAGCTGGAGTAGTTAATTCTTTATTAATAACATTAGTAAATTATAACTGTACAGTACATTTTCATGCTGCTTCATTCTTTTAAAAAATGAAATGCTTTCATGGATATTACCTTAGTCAAAATACTGGTTTAGAGGAGCAGTAATGGGGATAATAATCCTTTTCCCCTATGATCATACGGTTCTTAGAGCCACAAAAATACAGAGTTCACAAATGAAACAATTGGTTACAGAAAGCAGTTTTGTTCATTCATTTAAACATACAAGCAGTATTGTTGAATGCCTACTTTGGCAGTGTAGACCTTGTCAAAGAGAAAAGGACAGTTGGTTCATCCAAATTGTTCACTCCTTGCCATTCACATCTCATTGAGCACTTACCATGTGCCAGGCTCTGAATCTCTTATACTGACGCTCCATCCAGGTGGAACGAGTGAATGAGTTCATGTTTTCCTCCCTGCATTTTGATGCTTGCCTACTGTTCTTCAGAGTCATCTCCAATTTCTATTTTGGTCATCTTTACCTTTTTTTTTTTTTTATTTCAGCATATTATGGGGTACAGATGTTTAGGTTACGTGTGTTGCCCTTGGTCCCCACCCCCCCAAGTCCGTGGTCATCTTTACCTTAACTCAGCCTGGATCATGATCACTGCATATATTGAAATTGGGTTTCTCGCTATCGAATATGGAAACCCAAAATAACAGTGACTTCTACAAAATAGAAATGTGGGTTTTTTTGTTTTTGTGTCCCCAGTTCAGGGCTTGACAAATATTGTTTGAAAGAATAAGTGCATTGGCTAGTACTATTAAGCTTCACTACCCCCTGCTGAGACGATAGATTTTAGCCAATGAGACAAGCACCACCTGGGTTTTTGGAACTAGTATGGGGATAACAAGGTGGGATTTCTCAAAGTGTAGTCCATGGACCTCCTGCGTGGGAATAACTTGCTTGTAAAATGCAGATTCCCATGCCTCATACCCAGGGATATAATTTGATAGGCCTAGGATAGGAACCAGAAATGTACATGTCTCACAAACTCCCTTGGGTGATTTGAGAACCACTGGTAAGGAAAGAAAGAAAGAAAGAAAGGAAAGGAGAAGAAGAAACTGATTTTTGGTCTATCTTTTAATAAATTCTCATAAAGTAGTGGCAGAGGCTCTATTTCCAGCCCTGGCTTGTGAACTCATGGTAGGGCCTATTGCTTCCTAGAGAGCTTCCCAGAATTAAGCCCAAGATTAGGAAAGGGCTGAAAAGTTTATTTTTTTCCTCACATAAAAGACGTGTGGAGGCAGGTGATGAAGTGCTAGTGTGGAGGATTCGTGATGTCATCAGCTGCCCAGGCTCCTTCACGAGGTTGCCCTTGTTCCTGCCATCCAAGGTGGCTGCTAGAATTTCATTCCATGAAGCCATCAGTCCTTGCTCTGGATGGCAGGATGCAGGAAGAAAAGAAGTGGAAGAGGAAGGCCCCTCCATTTTAAGGACACCCCCCAGAAGTCACATACAAAGCTACGCACGTGTTTGGTCAGAGCTTAGTCTTATGACCACATTCTGCTGTAAGATTATCTGGGGTATGTAGATTTTTACCTCGACAGTAATGTGCCCAGTAAAAGAAAGTAACAAAAAGCAGAAAGTAAAAAAAATCAGACCAAAAAAATCCCCGAGGATTGCGTTAGTAAAGAACAGGCCATTACTGGTCTCTGCCACAATCATTCCTCCTAGAGCTGCCCAAATAAATGTCCTAGATTCCCTTTAGCTCTTGGCAAGTGATTTTGCCAATTCTCAAAACCAGCTATCATCACCATCCTATTTGTTTACACCTCCTCCTCCTCCTCCACATAATCGCTTGGAAAAGTACTAAAACTGGACACAGATCTCATGTCACATGCCTGTCAGTTAACTTCGTTTGGATTCCTGTTTTTTAAATTGTGTACTGTCAGAGCCTATAATCTGTTTCTTGTGGCAGTTGCTTTAAAATTTTCCGCATTCCACTCTAATTCCGTGTTCTCCTTTCTTTGTTTTTACTTTCTTATAAATCAATCAACCACACGCCCCCTCAGTTCTGTGTGTCTCTCTGATATGTCTTCCTGGGCCTCAGTCTTGGACCCTCTTTTTATCAGTATCAGATACTCCTGATGAGCTGCCTCCGTTTCTCTTGTTCAGTGCTGTAGGGCAGTGCCTGGACAAGAGAACTTTGTGCTCTGTAAATGCCTCTTGAAGCAATAAATGGATAATTTCCCTTCTTTCTCTTACTTCCCTCTCCCTATTTAGAATATAAGATTGTTTCTATATTTAAAATACTTTCTCTTGACCTTACTGCCTTTTCTCCCCCCATTTCTCACAGCTTTTTATATTTTACGGAGAGTGTCTCTGCCTCCATTTTAATCTCACTGTTTACTGACTCCTTGGTCACTTTACTGGCTTGAGTTTCCCTCTGTGAATTTTCAGATTTTTCTTTGAGATCCACCCACTACCCCTATTGACCCCTTCTCTTAGTTTAGTCTCTTTAGCTTCTCTGTACCATGCTGTGTTATTGACAGCATGTTCTTGGAACTACCCCCTTATTCTTTTACCTTCCTGGCTTTTCCTTCTGCCTTTCCTTTGTTGAACTCCATCTGCTTTGTAATGGTGAGGAAAGCACCAGGATTTTGCCTTCATCCTGCTATCTTTGTAATATCCCAGGCTTGCCTACCCCTTTACCTGTAAATGTTACCACTAAGTGGATGATTCCCAAATTTACATAAATTGCTCTTACTGCTTATTCCTACATAACTTTTTTTTTTTGTTTTTAAGAAAAAAGAGATAGGGTCTTGCTCTGTTGCCCAGGTTGGAGTGCAGCGGTGTCATCACAGCTCTCTGCAACCTCAATCTCCTGGGCTCAAGCCATCCTCCTGCCTCAGCCTCTCAAGTAGCTGGGACTACAGGCGCGTACCACTATGCCCAGCTAATTTTTTTAATAGAGACAAGGTCTCATTGTGTTGCCCGGGCTGGTCTTGAACTCCTAGCCTCAAGAGATCCTCCCACCTTGGCCACACCAAATGCTGGGATTACAGAAATAAGTTAATGCGCCCGGTATCCTGCATCACTCTTAAATACTTCCTGGTTGCCTCAACTTAAATTCCTCTGTCATCTTAAACATTGTTTAAAATTTCTGATGTTGGCATCAATGTCCTAGGTTCACGTCAGTAGGGTGCTGCTTCTCAAACTTTTCATCTTAGTAACCCTAATGGCTAAGTGGAGCAGCTTGCTGAGGGTTCTTTCCCTTGTCTGGAATGCCTCTTCTTTATTCTTTCCAACTTCCTTCTTTTTGTAGAAGATCAAGTTTGAAAATCTACATTTCACAAAGATTTCTAGGATGACATCAGAGGAGGCAAGAAAAGCTTCATCTTTCCCTGCTGCACCTCTTTTAATAAAAGGATTTGTTCTGTAAATTTTGAATTCAGTCAAAAGGCCACATGTAAGGACCTAGAAGGCCACATGTGGCCTTAAGGCTGGAAGTGCCCCACCCCTGCGAGACCTTATTGACTTCCCAGCCTTTGAACTCTGGCCACACTCATTTATATACATATCTGGCACTCCTCATGTACTTCTGTTGTATTGTCGAATAAATCATTTTTATTACGAATGTCTTATCTCACAGATCGCCTGTAAGCGTATTCCTCTTTCTACTCCCAGTGCCTGGTATGTATCTGGCACTTAATAATGTTTGCTATGGATGATGGCAGAGCCTTTTCATTTCCTTATCATGTGCCATTTCTAACAGATTGCTTTAAAAAGCAATTAATTTTTCTTACCACCAAACATTTTTTTTTTTTCCTGTAAATGACATGGACAGTGTTGGGACTGAGCTGAATGACAGATTGCCTATAGCCTGATTGTATTTTGCTTTGCACTATTTCAGGTACATTATAAAAGGCATGGAATGATCATTGGAAAAGTAACTTTTCTCCATCTTTGGAGTGTCATCTAAAAAAATGGAATGAAAGAATCATAAAAAGAGCTAGTAGGATTTGGTGAAAGCACATTCAGAGTTTTGCATTGGAAAATTCAAGATAGGGTAGGGGTGGAAGGAAAGAAAGAAGAAGAGCAAACATGAATGAATGAGAATGAATGTGAAGTGTGTACCCACCAGACCACACCACTTGGGAAATAAGGTTGGGATGCTATAAAACTAGCCAGGCAGAAGAGTAGTTGTATCAAAGTAGTGGCTATGTCATAAGGATGAGAATTCATACCAAGAGCACCACCTACAAAAAGAAGCTTACCCAACTGTTTGTATGATGAGTTGTCTTTATAATAAATTCCTCAGCAATATAGGAATGGGACAGATGTGTTGAGTAAAGTAGGTCCTGTTAATATAGGATGTCTTTTAAAATTATGGTATGAGAAATTAATTGTGGTTGCAACTTAGCTCTGTGTATATTGAAAATCTGATTCCAGACTCAAATACAGGGAACAGAAACCTTAGTTCACTTACATATTTTATTTTACTTTTTGTTTTTCTATAGGGAATTTGAAGTACTGCCTGGTGATTCTTAATCAGCCTCTGGACGAATATTTTCGTCATCTTTGGAACAAAGGTAATCTTAACTAGCATTTATATTTCTTTGCTTTCTTACTTTATTTGGGACTGACTAACATGACTATTAAGTACCCTGGAAGCTAACTGAAACACACAAAAAATTAGAATTCATTATGAGGTGATTCAATTCATTATTGCTTCTCTGTTAACCTTTTTATTTCAAAATATTAAGGGGGTAGAAATGTTTTAGGTTTATATATGTGATTTCCATAGCACTGACCCCCAAGGACAGAATACTATATTTCAGAACTACTATGTGGATATTAATCTTGAATACTCAACAAATATTTGTTCAAGTGTGAATATTTTTGGCTCTAGAGATAGCAGAAGAGCATCTGCATGCCTCATTTGTCACAGCATCCAATAATAAGATATCTGCAGGGTGATCAGATCTGCAAAATTAAAAAAGAAGACATGTTGCCAGTATGTTAGAATCTCTTGGGGTGCTGAAAATAAAGTTAAGAAAGGGAGAATGTCACAGAACTAATACATATGGGAGGTTTTGTGTAAAAAACAGGCTTTATTAACTGTTTATTTGCATTATTGTTTGACTTTTATAGGATTAACTCAAGGCTAGAAAATAACATTAAATATCATTTGCTATTTTGAACTTGTACTCTTCTTCCATGAAATCTTGGGATTTTTTTCAAAGGGATAATTTTGCTGAGTTATCAATGCAAGTTTTAGGCCAAAGCAGACGGGCAGAAGAACTTGATTCTTGATATATTGATACATATTTCTGTTATTCCTGATTCCTTTTTATCATTGCAGAACTCTTTAGTATTCTCAACATTAAGGTTATGTTTCTTAGAATGCAAACCTAGTATGTTAATAAGCTCACATCTATAGACAGAGGCAGTTGTGATACTAGAAGGAATAAATCATCACAAGAGATTTTGTATGAAGAATTTTTCTTGTCCAATATCATTGCAGTGAAAAGTCTTGCTGTTCTAAATATAGCAGTCTTTAAGTTAGCCAATTTAAAATTTCACATTATATTGCCCTCAAAGTTTGAAAATTATTTAACCATTAAGTTCTTTCTTAGCACTTACTAGTAATGGGATAGTTATTTGTATGATCATAAGGACTTTTTTGTCATTGTATGTTTAGTGCCTGGTGCAAATTATAATAAATGAATGAATTTAATATGGTTTATATTGCTAATAAATACTAAATAAACTGATTAGGCACATCCTTTTTATTTGAATTTATTACATCAGGTTTTATATCATTTGGAGAGTGAGTGTGTTTTATTACAAATATTAGAAATAGACAAAATTATGATTGATACGAACTCTTGGAAACCTTGGATATTCAAAGCTACATATTAAGAAGTCTCTTATATTTTGGGGAGTTAAGGGTCCTATTTTACACATACTGGGAAATGATGGAGATTTTTGATCTGACTGAAGTTCTTCATTAGTTTTCCTGCAGTGAATTAGATTTTTTTTTAAAAAATTTCATTTTCATTTTAAATCTTTTTTAGAGACAAGGTCTCACTCTGTCTCCCAGGTTGGAGTGCAGTGGCATGATCACAGCTTGCTGTGACCCTGAACAGCTGGCCTTGAGCAATCCTCCCACCTCAGTCTCCCAAAGTGCTGCGATTACAGGCATGAGCCACTGTACCCGGGCTGAATTAGATTTGAAAAAAGTCTCATACCTGATAATCATTTGATTTGCATAACATGATCAATCTGTACATGGAAAAAACTAAAGGTGTCTGAAGTATCAGGTATACTGAAATGGCTAGTTAATTCTCATTTCCAAAATAACTTTTCTTATTCAGGTTATTGAAATGTTCTTTGATACATTACTTCTAGGATAATTCTTGGCTTTCTGGAGCCTTTAACTATTCTTATGAAGTCTTTAACCATTCTTTTTTTTTTTTCCAAAATTTTATTTTTCAAAATTTTAAAA